TTTTTTTCATTGTTATACATCTTTTTATATCTGTGTCTATTAACAATTTTGTCTATTTCTTAATCTGATAGATTTGAAATAAACTTAGAGACTCTTATCATTTTAATATTCTTATCATACCTATTATCACTATTATCTACTTTAATAGAATTGAATTCTTTAACAAATTTAATCTATTATAGTATAGTCAACTTATTCTTAATTGTATTATTTTATTATGTTGATTGAAATACTTGTTAATGGTTTAAGTAATAGAGTATAACTTTGTTTTATTTCTAATAATACATATTCATTCTCTGTCTTTCTGGTTATATTAATTTGCTTATATCTAAAAGAACATGAAAATACTTTAAAATAATGAATCATTCTATTTCAAAAAATAAAGAGAAATGAAATAAACTATCAATAATAAGAATTGAATTGGCATATCTAGAATTTCATAGTCTTGTTGTTCATTTAAATACTCAAATTAATACAAACAAAAAATACAAGAAATAAATGAAGAAATTCGTTATATAAAACAATAAATAAACTCAAAAGAACTAAAAAAGAGAGTCATTGAGATAAAACATTATGGAAGAAGTTGATGATAAATACAATGACTTTGTTCAAAAGATGAGGAAACCATTTGAGTTTCAATATAAAGTTGTTTCAGATCCAGGGAAATTATTTACAACACATAGAGATTTTAGAAGATGGCATCAAAAGATACCGATATTATGGACATACAAACCATTTTATGAGCCTCGTACTATTCATCTTCCAAGTATTAAAGAAGAACAAAAACGATATCAATCAAATAAAATTGAAAATAATAAATATCAATGGTGGAATTTTATTCCATTAGCATATCTTAGACAATTCAAATATACATATAATATTTTCTTTTTAGTAACTATTATTACACAATTTATTCCAGCATGTAAAGTTGGATATCTGTTTCAACATGTAGTTCCATTAGTCTTTGTTTTAACAGTTGCAGTATTAAAAGAATTATTTGATGAAATTCATACAAGAATTCAAGATGGTAAAATTAATAATCAAATTTATACAAAACTTACAGATAAAGGAGAAATAAAAGTAAAATCTAAAGATATTCAAGTTGGTGATATTATTTTAATGAATAAAAATGAAAGAGTACCAGCAGATATGATTGCACTTCATACAACAGGAAAGAATGGATTATGTTTTGTTAAAACAACACAATTAGATGGAGAAACTGATTGGAAAATTAGAAAAACAGTTCCATTTACACAAAATATTGATAAACAAGATATTCCATTAAAACCAATGATTATTGATGTTGAAGCACCAAATACTGATATTAAAAAATTTGCAGGAAGAATAAGAGAGACAAATATTCCATTAACTCTTGATATTGAGAATGTAATGTGGAGTGGATTAACTGTTGCAGGAGAAGAAACAATTGGAGTAGTTGTTTATACTGGAAAAGAAACAAAAATAGAAATGTCTAAAGAAGAACCAGTTCATAAAATGGGAGTAACTGAAAGAGAATTAAATAGAGTAACAGGAATTTGTATATTATTATTATTTATTGTAGTTTTAGTTATGACAATATGTACAACAATTTATGGAAAATTTACATTTGTTACATTTATGAGATATGTTATTCTTGCTGCTCCAATGATTCCTATTTCATTAAGAATTAATTTAGAAATATCAAAAGTATTTTATTCATTATTAATTAATTATGATCCTAATATTCCTGGTTGTTCTGTAAGAAATACTAATCTTCCTGAAGCACTTGGAAGAGTTGATCAATTATTTACAGATAAAACAGGAACATTAACTGTGAATGAAATGATTTTTAAGAAATTTACAATGGAAAATAAAAGAGAAATTAATTGTGAAGATATTGAAACTACAAAAATGCTTGTTGAAGATGAATTAAATTCTAATGAACTTATTTTTACTAATGAAGAATCAAATGAAAATCGTCTTATTCTTAAGGCTTTATTTGCTATGGCTATTTGTCATAATGTTACTCCAACAAAAAGTGTTGATGGTAAATTATATTATCAAGCATCATCTCCTGATGAAATTGCAATGGTTCAATTTGTTGAGAAAATTGGAATAATTTTAACTGAAAGAGATACTGAAGAAATGATATTAAATACTTCTAAAGGTGAAAGAAAAATAAAAATATTAAGTCTTATTCCATTTTCAAGTGAAAGAAAAAGAATGGGTATTATAATAGAAGAAAATAATAAAAAGGTATTACTTATGAAAGGTGCTGAAAGTGTATTAAAAAGAATGTTACCAAATGAATGGTGTGTTGAAAAATCTACTGAACTTGCTCGTGAAGATATGAGAACATTAGTTTTTGCAATGAAAATTATTAATGATAATGAATATTCTCAATTTGAACATGAAATGAATGAAGCTAAAATGTCATTAACTTATCGTGATGAAAAAGTAAATAATGCTTTTAATCTTCTTGAGAAAAATTTAAATCTCATTGGTGTTACTGGAGTAGAAGATAGACTACAAGATAATGTTCCACAAACTATTGAAATCTTAAGAAGAGCTGATATTAAAATATGGATGTTAACTGGTGATAAAATTGAAACAGCTATTGGAATAGGACAAACCTCAACAATTATTCCACGAGACACTGAAATTATTACTATTACTGGTTCTATTGAAGAAGTTGCTACTATTATTAAAACAACAAATTCTATTGAAAAAGCAATTGTGATTGATGGAGAGGCATTACAACATTGTCTTGATTGTTTCCCACGTTCATTCTTTCTATTTTGTGATGTTTCAAAAGCTGTTATTTGTGCTCGTTGTTCACCACAACAAAAAGCTGAAGTTGTTCTTGCAGCAAAAAAATTAGGCAGAAACACTTGTGCTGTTGGTGATGGTGGTAATGATGTTGGTATGATTAGAGAAGCTGATGTTGGTATTGGAGTTGAAGGAAAAGAAGGAAAACAAGCAGCATTAGCAGCTGACTTTTCAACACAACAATTTGGATATATTCCAGAGTTATTTTTATGGCATGGTAGAAATGCATATAAACGAACTTCTTTATTATCTCATATTATTATTCATAGAGGAATTATTATGACAACAATGCAATTATTATATTGTTCTATATTTAATTTTGCACCATTACCATTATATATTGGTTGGTATATGATTTTCTTTACTACTATGTTTAATCAATTACCTATTATTATGTTTATTACAGATTTTGATTTGTATAGATATTCTACTCGTAAATTCCCTGAAATTTATAAACAATTAAGAGAAAAAAGTGATTTAAGTATTAAAGTATTTTATCAATGGTTAACTACATCAATATATGAAGGTACAATGATCTTAATTATATCTTTATTATTAACTCATGAACAAAAAGAACTGGCAAATCTTTCATTTTTGGTTTTAAATATTATTTATCTTTTAGACTGTGCAAGTCAAGTTAAAACTTGGAATTGGTATTTATTATTTAGTTATGTTTTCTCATTTATCCTCATTTTTTCAGT